TGTGCACTTCTGCGATGATTAGTGGCGATACGAATTAGCTCGCACCAAAACCAGGGAGGCAAGGGGACTCGACGACTTACAGTAAGCGTGCGAAGCCGCCTCCCATGGTGGGCCGTGCTCAAGTCTTCAAAGCTTCAAAGCTTCAAGCTACACGATCGCGTGACCGCCATGATCTGCACGTGCCCACTGCAGTGTCGGGCCGTGTCCGACCTTGTCCAACCGTGTCCGAAAGTGTCCGACCTCCTGTGACCTACGACGACAGCACGACTGCCAGGCGTGTGCTGAGGCGTGTGGACCACCTGGGCCATACGTCGGCGCAGGTAAAGCAGTGCGTAGCTGCGTAGCTATGGTCCCTGAGACTGCGGCGTTGCCAGGCGTGTGCTTAGACATGTCATCCTCGAGTTGACACGTCGGTGCAGGTAAAGCAATCGTCGGTTGGGTGGGCTGTTTTCGTTGTCTGTCTTTTCAGCCGTGAGGGCGACAAGCCTAGCCGGATACTGGTTCTCTAGGGCGCAGAAACTGAAAATGAATGCCGCTTTCCGCATCATCGAGTTTCCAAGTTTGATTTTTCTCTCGCGAGTTCCTTTTTTCCTCCTGCAAACTGTTACACCGATGATCAATGACCTCCCGCCGCCACGGTACTCTCCCGCGTCAATTTCGCCTCCCGCCGTCGTATTGCCCCCACGACACTGCCGCTTGGCGGGAGACGTCGAGGGCGGGGTCGACGCTGGAGTTGCGTCGGGGGTCAAAGCGTCTGCCGGAGACGACGGGGGGAAGACGTACTACTGGTCTTCGTGCGTGGGTAGATCTCGGCATGTCTGTGAGCCCCGTATCACAGCCGTCTCCTCTCTGGCAGGAGCTGGACTGTTGTGCATATTTGGCAACGATGAGCATTTGGAATTCGACATATCCCTCTGTGCTAGACAGCCCTCCAGAAAGTGAGTCGGAAGGTGGGTGAGATGGTCTTCACATTTCTCTCTTCGTCATTCGATGCGTGCATACAGCTTGCCGGAGGGCTGTATGCATACCATGACACCGAGTCGGACGCGCAGCTAGACCGTACGCTCGCGTCCAACGTCTTGGCAGGCGGAGCACGTCGGATTGTCTATTCGTCGTGGTTATCTGGAGTTGGTAGAGTTGCCACCTCTCACAGGAGGCAGGCCTCGCCAAGAGGTCTTTTTAGCGTATGTTGCGTATGGATGAAAGCCATAGTGAAGCTCGGATATCCGCACGATGTAAGGGCTTTACTCTGAGTCCCACCGCCTGATTGTCGCCCCACGACTTTTGTTCAGATGTCCGAGTTGCTGTGCGTGTGTAAACTCTACGAGTGGGCGCATGAGACGCAACAAAGGGTTTGGCAGAGTTCTCATGTCTGGCTGCGAGAGAGGTTCTCCAGGTCTCGGCCCCTTACGATTGGCAACTCGATGCTGTTCCGTCAGGGCATCCCTCAAATTTCAGTGCGCGTACTGTCAGAACGACAGCGGCAGGCAGTGATGGGCCTCCATAGTTGACTGTATGTGGGCAGAGCTTTAGGTTTGTCATTGATCCCATCCTTAATGAGATCCTGTACAGTACTAATCCTCGTTTGTATTGCTCGCGCGCGAACTCACCAAGGTTTGCCCAAGCTTGCTGTCCGACGCCGTCTTGAGCTAGTGCTGCTAGTGCTGCTAGTGCTGCCGTCGTCTGTCGTTATCAGTACGTCGACATACGTCGTGTTTCTTGGGGTACGTCGCATCACTGACCGAGCAATACCAGGTATGGCGCCTCGCTGATAGAGCAACACCTTGCCACGGGTCACTACTGACTGTATTGTGCCCATGTCGTGCAGTGGGTTTGCCGGGTATGCGCCCACGCCAGCGACTATATGAAAGCGACTGCCCGCAGTAGGAGTCTCTGGGAAAGTAGCTAGCGTCGCCACCAGGCAGTGTACAAGCACAAGCTGTCCGATGGATCTGCTTGCTTCGCGGGCCAGATCAAGAACCTGCACAAGGACGGCGTGGTCGCAATTAAGCGGAGATGTGCGATGGCATGTGGCGAGGGTGAGGGCTCGCCAACGTCGTCAGCGCTGCACGTAAGCGGTGCGAGGTACGTTTCCTCGAGGCTGCGCGCGAGGCGTTCGTCGAGAACACTGAGTGAACGACGACACACTGCTCTCCTGCGGGAGGACGTCCGACCCGTGCAGAATGGATGAGGCATAGAACATTAGTACTGTCACCGAGGTGAGCTGCGATATCGTGAATTCGCAAACTGTTCCCAATCCTTTATATAATTGGTGTAATGCCTGTTGACGAGTTTCTGGAATTCCTGCCGAAGCCTGATATGTCCGCGATGCCCCCTGCTGTGCAAGCATTCAAAGATCTGCCGGCAGAAGCTGAGCACAGGCAGCAGATTATTGAACCATTAGTGCGGTATTTAGATTTTTCTGTCTATCACAAATATTAAATTTGTACAGATTATTGCCCTCAATGGTGTTGGAAGAGGCGCCACGAAGTCGCGGCCAAGATGTCCTGGATTTGTCTTCATAGACACAACCTCGTTCGATGTGAATCGCGGAGAGATAGGTTCAATGAATCCCCATGTTTCCTGCCTCTCCGAAGAAGATATTGGCTCGATGAACCCGAAATCGACAGTCGCGAGCTCTATTTCTTGCGCCGACCTGTATATTGACGTCCAGCAGCATCCTGGTCTGGACGCCTTCACAGATCCAGCTCAAGGCGATGATCGCTCTGCTCATGATTTCATTCTGAATATCTACGATGAACGAACTCGAAATCGGGCCGAACGAGGGCTGGGGATGAACGTTGCGTGCGCTCGTCAGCATCGCAGCTTCTACTTCTCTGTTGCACTGTCTGGATCACGCGCCCGGCTTATCCGCTGGGACCGTGCTGGAATGATCGTCTCAGAATCGGTCGACCTGCATCATGATGCGCAGCCTATCTGCGAATTCCTGTGGCGGTACGCCCACGCCTCGCAATCACAGCGTGGCCACGATCCTACTGTTCAGCCTGCGACGAAGGAGGAAGAGAAGCTCTTCAGAGAATCAATCAAACGCCACGTCAAGTCCCAGCTTGGTCTTAGGGACCAGACCACGCTGGCGGCTGCCATGGCGGAACACTTACCAGCCAGGAATTGTGGCTGCTGTTACCATAGTCAACAACAGTTCTGAAGAGCGCAGACTCCTGATATACCGACCAGTGGTCTCGCCTGTCTGAATGATAGGTCGAGGAACTACAATCAGCCCTCGCGCCGGGAATAATGTACCTTGTGTTTACCGCCCTAGTGTATTATCTCCAAAGCTACGCAGCCTTACACGGCGAGTTTTTAAACCTTCAATAGGAACTTACAGAGATCTGACCAAAACGTGACAGGCTCTTTTACATCCCTGTAGGAATGACATAATGTTAATGGCTATATGATGCGGAGCCTCGGTATTAACTGGTCGATGGGCAAAAATAATCTAGTGAGTTCACTTGGTCGAACGTACCACGAAGGCTCCCTCTGCTATGTGACACTGGGAAAGTTGTCCCTGTGTAAGTGTACCGCAGATCGCTGATCTGGGACTTCTCGCTCCCCCGACTTTGACTCTCGCCGTCTACGCTCACCAGGCGTCCAGCGCCAGTTGTTCCCTATCCTCTGCCTGTCCCCTTTCACCTGCTGCTCGATTCTTCGTTCTAGTTTCTTCTCTCTCGTCTGCGGATATATCGACCATGAATGGGACGATCGCCCTTCGCGGCCGACATTATAAAGTAAGTTGAAGGTCTATTGACTCGGTGTGCTCTGAATTCATCTTGCAGACTGTCAGGAGTATATTCCAAGCGCAAGGATCCGTCGGATGGCGTGAACTGGTGGAAGTATGTTGCTTTTGAGTGCATTTTGTGTTGCATTCAGCCTAATGATCGCGCAGGCCTTTCAGAGTATGAGCTTTAAGGTAAAAGCCACAAAGGGCTCCGTTCATAAATTCAGTCCGCCTAGCACGATTCCCGGGCGCGCTTTTACCTGGCACAAGGTAATGTTTCTCAGTGTCCAGAAGGGCTTCGGGTTTCTGACATAGTGCAGCCGCACTCTTCGCAACTACGCCCGGATCATCTGCGAATGTGAGTTTTCTCCAGAGCTCGCCGGTGCTAGCTAACGCGTTTTTAGATTGAGGGGAGACCTGTCCCAGCTTTACCATTGGAGGGTCGAAACGTTCATAAGAAAGAAGTGAAGCAGAGGGGTGCATTTGTAGAAAACTTCGTGAAATGAAGATAATCATGCGCGCGCGCGATTGAGAACAAATAGACTGCGTAGATCTTCATAATTATAATCCTTTCACCGACGGATTACTTGTACCTTTGTAGATTAACCCTACTGTATCTAGATTACCAGATCCGATCACTCACTCCACGCGAATCGCGGCCGGCAGTTGCCGTTCCAGGGAGTGCATTCTTGGCACTTGCGATGTTTGGCTGGGCGACCGCGCGCGTACCTCCTCCTCGTCTTCTGTTTGCTTTCACTGCTTCGCCAATGGCGCCGTTCTCGTTTAGGTGCTTTTGCTCCGCGTTACGCGAGCTCGGGTCTCGGATTTGATACCATCGCTAAAGGCACAGGTTGGCTGAGAAACACCAGAAAAAACCATACACTCTTCCATAGGTGCGCGGTCGCTCTGCCCATGTTTATAAATTGTCACAGCCGAGAAGGCGGCTGTAGATTTTCTTATGCTCTATCGGTACTCTTCTGGCGAGTCGCCCGAAATATTAATTGTTGTAGAAGCGCTGGGTTTGCCTTGCGCGTCATCATCCCCGGCGACGCTCTGCGCCTTCGCCAGTGTCGAGCGGGAATACGAACGAATTCCACTGCATTGTCGCATGTCGTGAGCGGGCTGGTTTTTGGGATTGCAGAGGCGCTCAGTATGTGGGTATCTATTTTCTATCATCGAGCGCGAGCTTTGTTCCGTTGCAGATCTCGAATTCTGGAATGGCAATCTGACTCCCACCCCACAGCTCCTGTCGCCCCAGGACGAATCACCGTGTCCGCCTGGGAACATCCGCGCACCCTGCCCTGTAATCGCGGTACGAGTGGGCTACAATCCACACATTGGGAGTCAGCAGAATTCAGGGAACATATAGGCATACAAAACACGTACATAGGACACAATCGGCAGGACTACTGTCTCCCCCTGCACGGCCTGCCTCTTGATAGTAGCTACCAAAGTCGTCAAGAAGAGCTAGAAGGGGTGAGAGAAGGCCTACTTTTCAAGATCCTTCGGCAAAGAGTGATGGATGACGAAACGAACTGCCTCCCAAGTTGTCAGACACATTCTTCTGAGATCGTGTGAGAATGCCATGCCGTTGGATTTGTTGATACCCATTCCGAACGCGTTCTGCGCAGAACATTTAGCAAAATTGGTCAGACGACGATGAGTGATCTCATTCTTGTCCATTGTCCCATGGTAGGGGAATGCCGACAAGTGATGAGCATTCCGCAACTCTGCAGCAATGTGCTCGCATTTCTTTCGACTTGTAGCGTAGATGATACCGGTCTGTCCATTATAGTTGGTTCGAATGAATTCGACAACGTCTGCGAGAACGGCACCCTTCCATTTCTGTCGAACGACGTAGTTCAAATTCGTGCGATTATGGGATTCTGTCAAGCGGAGGCAATTAGGCATCCCGAGACGATCAATAACATCGTTGACTGCTTCCGGAGGAGCTGTCCCAGTAAGTGCCATGATCCGAACTTTGGGATACTCGATTCGCATGAGGTTGAGCGCTTTGTACTAGAATTAACACATAAACCATCAGCAGTCTACACTGAAGGAAAAGAGGAGAAGCAGAGTCTCGGAATTCTCTTCCCCACGTGGGGATCCAATGTGCCTCATCGAAACTGCACAGCGCTATCACATCGTTCTGATGCATCATAGGCATGGTATTCCTCATCGCAGCACTAAACTGGAGTCTCTCTGGTGTCACGTGTACGCCAAGCACGGTCTATACTTGGTTTTGAGGCGCGCCATGTCCGCAGCAGTGGGTGCCTTCCCGTAGGTTTTCTAAATCATAAAGCGGACTATGAAATGCCCCACTGTGTCGGAACAGCAAGATTTGCGAGACCGTAACGACGTGAGTCGACCCCCCCTTCCAGATATAAGGTTTAGAAAGGTCTCACTTTGTTCACATGCTCATCGGAGATCAATTGGCCGACGTGCCGGAGTGATTTAGAGACGAAATTTAGCTTTAGAACGTCTCTAAACGGCTACATCAGCAAAAGTCAACTTTTGGTTACCTCCATTTAGCTCCCTTATCTCCTTAATTAAGGAGGTCTCCGTTCTTAATTGGGCAATTAACGCCGATAAGGGTGACTAATGGAGGAATAAGAAAAAGGATCTCCTTATTTTTCCTTAATCAAGGGTATAACACCGGTAAGCAAAAGTTGACTTTTGCTGATGTACAAGGCATCCAGTTTCTTTGTTATCTCGATTTGATTCAAACACTAACATAAATATGTTCTGGCACGTGCACGAGGCTACTGTAACTGGTGGTGAAGTCCGAGCGATCTGTCGACGGTCCTGCGGCCCAAGAGTCGATAGGCAGTGCGCAAGGGAGCCACAGAACAAAGAGGTGAGCGAGAACAGATCGCATCCCGAATACTCCACCACCACCGCCACTTGTCGCTCGACGCCTCTCACAGGCAGAGCCTCCACCCGCCGTTCGGCAACCAGTCTACTAACAGTGATATGCTCTATATAGGAAGTTGAGGACGCAAGGAGTTAATTACGAGACAAGAGAGGGTAGATACGGAGGGTAATCTGTACCCGACGTGATAGGTGACAGCCCATCCGTTACACAGATACAGTGGGCAATACTTTGGGAACCTTTCTACCGACCTACGACGCTATATGGCTGGTGAAGGTGAGTACTTCAAGCACTCTGTGGAACGGTTCGCAGATCCTGAGCCCACCGATGGAGGTAATCTCATCATGCAGAATGTTGCCTGCTACTTGCGTGCACTTCCTAAACCTTTCAAGGACTTACCCAAATGCTGGAGATGTCAGCAGGGATTAAGGACTGGCTGTCATTTTGTTAGTAAGTTGTCGTATCCTTCTAGATGCCACAAACTTGCTGAAGTGATCGCAGAATGCCGAACTGTTGTAGACACCAATTATCGTCCTACCTTCCGTTATCCTGCAGAAGCCCATTCTGTGTTTCCTCAAGTCTTCAACAGGGCATTGTCTTCCGATGTTCTTGTTTTGAAACAGGTACGTCTTAATTACTCCAGCTCACAGGGTATGTTCCTACGTGCATTGTAAGCGAGCATGCGCGGAGGTATTACTTCCACTTCTCCTGGCTGAGCGGTCCCATATTCAACAAGAACGGAAAATTCACCGTCAAAGGGAGCTGAGCGTTCGGGTTACATGTGGTAAGTTTCACGTTGCACTCCTTCCTTCCTGAGGAATGCAGTAGTGATATGGGCGACCAGATGAATGCTCAACTGAGCTGTTCTGTCAATCGTGGTTCTGTGTTGATTGTGGACGAGAAATATGTGCGCTGTGTAAATTGCGTGTTGACGAGGTATGTGCACATCGTGCATGTTATACTTGCTGACCACCCCTGTGCAGACCTTCTTGGGAACGTGTCAGTGCCAGGCACTGAAATCAACGTCGAGCTCAAATATGGTTCCTATGAGTCGATTTCAATCCAGTGAGCTTGATTGTGCTATTCAAGAAATGGAGGAGGTCTTGAAGCAATATCCGAAACCAGCGTAAGTGTGTCACTGAGTCACTTCGCTCGGTCCTTACTATCCTGCATAGTGGGCTTGAGAAGATTCAATTTGATCATGTCCCTATTTTTTCCGTCGTGGGCCTACAGTTGTCGATGTTCCAGGAACCATGGAGCCACGGTGTACCCGTTGTGGTCACACACATCGATTCTGTTTTTCAGGGCAACTGGGGTCCTGCCTATTTTATAGAGAGCTATGGATCTAGACCAGTTGTGGTTCAGGATTGCGAGACGGAAACAACGCGGAATACTACAGTCAAAGACTTCTTTATGAATTTTGGGATTTCTGATAGAAGGTCCTCCATCCTGAAGCTTAAGGTATGTACGCGATTGAGTGTCCCGAGTTGATTACGATGCCTGACCGCTTGTAGGACTGGCCTCCCCAAAAAGCATTCAGTACTGAATTCCCTGAGCTGTTCAAAGCTTTCATAGATGCTGTGCCATGCCCTGATCTGGCACGTTTAGACGGTGTCCTCAACTTGGCTGCTCACTTCCCTCTGAATGGACTTGCTCCTGACCTAGGTATTACTCCAAAAATTATTCTCGCTCACTGAATCTAATCTCCCTGCAGGGCCCAAAATGTACAACGCTTTCGCGTCCCCTCAAGACAATGAGCATCATGGCTCCACGAAGTTGCACATGGATGTGACCGATGCGGTCAATATCATGCTGTGGGCGGCAAGTAATCACGATGAAAAAGCAGGTTCTGCACTTTGGCATATCTTCCCAGCTAGTTCAGTGGCAGTCCTTCGTAACTTCCTTCGTGAGCATGGATTTACTGCATTGGGAGATCCAATACACTCTCAAAGCATGTATCTCACGCCGGGATTGCTCGATCTTCTTGCAACGTATGGGGTCCGACCGTATGTGATACACCAACATCCGGGGCAAGCCGTCTTCATACCTGCAGGTTGCCCTCATCAGGTTTGTTTATTCGTCGGGCAGAATATGTTCATCTCTTACATCTCATTTTCGTGACTGTAGGTCAGCAACGAGGTGGATGCCATCAAAATTGCATGCGATTTCCTCTCGATAAATAACGTCAGGGAAACTCAGGAAGTAGTATCCCAACTCCGCTACCAGCGCCTGCAGAGTGGTTTTGGGGATGATGTTCTCCAGTTCTTCACAACACTCTGGTATACCTGGAAGTCACTTTCTCATATGTCTGAACTAGTTGCAGTCCCGGACGTTTTCATTGTCGGAGGTGATACTCACTCGGAACCCCCGGCTACTAGCGAAGACATTCTTGCGGAGGAGCAAGAGAACGCCCTCAGTTTCGACACCCTTGCCATTACATCGCCGGGTACTCGACAGATTCATGAGATTTGTTCGCCAACTGCATCACACCTCACGCAGGGTAGGGATACCTTGTCTCATCTCGAGGAGAAGAAGAAGAGACGAAAGGAGAAGAAGCATGCAAAAGCCCGCTCGCAACGTCCCCAAAAGCCTGGATTTGACTTTACCTGTCCGATTCCTCATTGTGCTGGTTATTACCATAGAGCCGGCCTCCTTGACCATTTGTGACCATACTTTCTCTCTCACTTATCGCACACACTGAAACTTGTCGTTCACCAGGACAAGAGTGCACCGCAATGTGTTTCGCATGGATGAATCGGCCGTCGCGAAAATTCGGCGGCCAAAGAAAGTCTCCGACGAGGAGTTTACGCGTTGCATTCGGGATGCTTGCTCGGGTGTTTAGGGGCGTCTGGTAGAGTGTACCCGTGCTGTGCTATGGCCAATGCCTTAGCTCAACTGATAATTTCCATACAAAACCATTACATGCATTCTGACGAAGCGGTAGGCATAGAGGGTGAATATTACATTATGAGCAAGTCCGTGCAATGTAGGTGAGAGTGTCTGAAGTCAAGAAGCATAAGATGAATGGGACGAACGCCAACCGGTACAACTGGATTCATCCCCGGGGAATGGATCCGGTATGCAATGTAGCGGGTTTGCGTGGCGGTCTGGTTGATCTATCCTGAACCAATACACTGCCAGTAGTACGGCGCCCTGTGGATTTTGACAACGGGCTATACACACCCCTCCCTGATTGACTGATCTGCCAATCTCCGCTCGGAAAGACATGCATGCAAGGCGATATTATATTGACGGATGTTCTTGCGAAACTTCTTTGCGGCATCGTCACCATCAGTGAAGATGTGTCGAACCAAAGGAGGAGGTCCTTCTAGAGCTGACAGGACGTCCTGTCCACGACCGCAGCGCGTCCGAAACACCGTGCGGTGCCTTCGAAGAACCGAACACCCTCTCCAAAGGAGGCCTATCTGAACAACTTACGGAGGTGAGAAATCCTGCCGAGCACCCGCGTGTCCAGAGTGACTAGAAGCAGGGGGGGCTATCTGTCTACAGGAAAACATGGAAATGGGCAGTCGGTCAGTATCCAGCTTAGCGAACGAGGGATTAGGAACACGCCAAAAGAATATGGATGCAGACATCATCGTGGAGATAAACTCGTTACCTTGAGAGAGCGATGTGCTTGCGAGTGTTGCGCCCTGGACGCGGCATCGGAACGGAGGATTGGCACTAGGTGCGGCGGTTGTGCACTTCTGCGATGATTAGTGGCGATACGAATTAGCTCGCACCAAAACCAGGGAGGCAAGGGGACTCGACGACTTACAGTAAGCGCGCGAAGCCGCCTCCCATGGTGGGCCGTGCTCAAGTCTTCAAAGCTTCAAAGCTTCAAGCTACACGATCGCGTGACCGCCATGATCTGCACGTGCCCACTGCAGTGTCGGGCCGTGTCCGACCTTGTCCAACCGTGTCCGAAAGTGTCCGACCTCCTGTGACCTACGACGACAGCACGACTGCCAGGCGTGTGCTGAGGCGTGTGGACCACCTGGGCCATACGTCGGCGCAGGTAAAGCAGTGCGTAGCTGCGTAGCTATGGTCCCTGAGACTGCGGCGTTGCCAGGCGTGTGCTTAGACATGTCATCCTCGAGTTGACACGTCGGTGCAGGTAAAGCAATCGTCGGTTGGGTGGGCTGTTTTCGTTGTCTGTCTTTTCAGCCGTGAGGGCGACAAGCCTAGCCGGATACTGGTTCTCTAGGGCGCAGAAACTGAAAATGAATGCCGCTTTCCGCATCATCGAGTTTCCAAGTTTGATTTTTCTCTCGCGAGTTCCTTTTTTCCTCCTGCAAACTGTTACACCGATGATCAATGACCTCCCGCCGCCACGGTACTCTCCCGCGTCAATTTCGCCTCCCGCCGTCGTATTGCCCCCACGACACTGCTGCTTGGCGGGAGACGTCGAGGGCGGGGTCGACGCTGGAGTTGCGTCGGGGGTCAAAGCGTCTGCCGGAGACGACGGGGGGAAGACGTACTACTGGTCTTCGCGCGTGGGTAGATCTCGGCATGTCTGTGAGCCCCGTATCGCAGCCGTCTCCTCTCTGGCAGGAGCTGGACTGTTGTGCATATTTGGCAACGACGAGCATTTGGAATTCGACATATCCCTCTGTGCTAGACAGCCCTCCTGAAAGTGAGTCGTAAGATCGCGATTTCCTCCCTGTGGTGGACATAGCTCCGGGAACGCGGGACTACGCAGGATTAACACTCGCGGACGTTCATCGCACAGTGCGCAACATATTGACATCAGCTTGTTCGATTATCCTAGAGATCCAAGGACATTCCCGGTCAGGCGGATGCAGCGCCTTCAAGGCAGAGGTTAATTTCTAAATAGGGTGGAGGTTTATTGTCGCGAAAGTGAGATGGTCTTCGCATTTCTCTCTTCGTCGTTCGACGCGCGCATAATGTCAGCCTGCGACCTAGGACGACAGCACGACCGCCAAGCGTGTGCTGAGGTGTGTGGACCACCTGGGCCATATGTCAGCGCACGTAAAGTGGTGCCTAACTATTTCCCGTGAGACCGCGGCGGTGCCAGGCGTGTGCTTAGACGTGTCATCCTCGAGTTGACGCATCGGCGCAGGTAAAGCAATCGTCGGGTTGGGTGTGCTATTTGTCGCCTTACCTTCTGTTCTGGCCGCGAGGTGGCTTGCGCAGTCGTAGCGTCAGCGTGATATAGTGAATATTCTCCTTGTCTGTCTTTTCTGCTGTGAAGGCGACATACCTGGCGGGATACTGATCCTCTAGGGCGCAGACGCTGAAAATAAACGCCGGCTTCCGCTTCGTCGAACTCCCAAGCCTGAGTTTGACTTTTATCTCGTAAGTTCCTTTTCTCCTGCTGCAAACTGTTGCGCTAACGATCAATGACCTCCCGCCATCATGGTACCCAGCCATGTCCATGTCCCTACCGCCTGCCAGGTTTTGTCATCGTTCATGTACCCGTTCATGACAATGACCATGACCATGACCATGTCCACGTCCGCCACGTCCACGTCGCTGTCCCCTTTCCCTATTCCATTCCGAACGTCTTTCATATCCGCGCTCGTTCTCAATCGAGCCTGTATTCTCTCGTCGCGGTACAGCTCGTTCAGGGATACAGGAACCCTCGGAAAACTGCAAGAGGTCTCATCTCCTTCCGAAGGGCCCGTAGTTTGACGAGATCGCATGTAAGTGTGCCTCCCTCAACATCCTACCCGCTTTACAATTGTTCGAGTCGCGCTCGACCTTTGAGACGTGTGCATCTCACTCACTTTCATAGGTGTTCCGCAGTCGCGTGTGCCACACTCATGCGTACTCCGCTGGGATTGCTCGCAGAGCCTGCTGTGCTCAGACCTAGGCTTCTACTTCCCAGTGCGCGAGATCGTAGTCTGAGAGCTCGTGCTGAGTCTGCCGGAAATGAGGAAAATCCTCTTCCCACTGTACTGTCATGACTAGGGACCCTGCAGCCCGAATACATTCCCGAACGCGGCACCGTCGGGGGACTTTGTCGACATGGAGCACCTTGTGGCAAGGCTGGTGCAAGTCGCATTCCCCACCCTGCGTAACATCTCACTGGGTGTTTACCTGTGGGACGGACAAGTTCCTCAGAGGCGGCATTGCCACTTTGAACTTTACATCGCTGTATGTCCATGTCCTCTCCGTCCTGTCCCTGAATCGATCGATGACGGCATCCCTGGACTTATCAAAGGTGCCAAACTTCAATTTCCTACTTAAGCTCTCATCCTCCGCGCGCTCATACCCTTCGTGTTGGTGGCCAGCGTGAACTTCCATGTCTTATCACATGAGAAGAGCTGCTCCTTGGAAGAGTTTTAGGCTGTTGATCACAGACTCGAGGCTTGTGCCCTTCCTTGGGTGCGAGGTGAGCGCGTGCGGTAAGCGGCGGCGTGCCGAGCTGGGCTAGCCCGGGCAGGCACTCTACCTTGAGTATCCCAGGGCGTGCTGTGATATTTCGATGGCATTTGCTATTGAATGATCACGAGCGATGCTTGCGCTGCATCCCGGGGTGCAGATCCACTCTCACTCGACGCCGCCCAATCATTTATCCACAGTCTCGATTTCCCATGAATGCGAGTAGTTTCAGGCTAGAACTAGAACGACACGGTTGTTATTAGCCATTACGGGCGACACGGTCTTCCCTCCATCCACAGCAGAGGCATTTTGCAAAATAGCTATTGTGTGAAATATAGGTATAATGTATTTTGAAAAAAGAAAATTCATTATGCCAGGGTTAGAAGGTTATTGCAGATTCTAAATAGATTCTATTTAGGCAATATATTTTATGGGTAGGGTACACATGACATGACAAGACAGACGATAGGAGGACAGGACGTGACGGGACATGGCAGACATGACGCGGGCAGGACAAAGGGACAGGACGTGACGGGACAGAAGGACAGGACGTGATGGGACAGAAGGACAGGACGTGACGGGACAGAAGGACAGGACGTGACATGACAACCGGACATGACAGGACATGACAGGACATGACAGGACAACTGTTTTTTCCAGGGAAATCCTTAAATAATTTCCTACATGTTTTTCCCTGGGAGTTATTTTCATTGGAAGATTTTAAAACTTTTCTTCGCTTATTTCCCAGAAACAAAAGGGAGAAATACACAAAGATTTTCCCCCTTTTTTCCCACGACAAAAACGAGAAAAATGCACTAAGTATTTCCACGCCCCTTTTTACCTCATCATTTTTCCACGGGAACAAAGCGGTAAATGTTTTGTTCTTTTCCCCGACATTTCCCACCGCATTTCCCGTGGAAACACTTTTTTGATTTCCACAAGTTTTTCCCCGTTATTTCCAGTGGAAAAAAGGGGCTATGCGTCCTGTGTGTTTTGGTACTTTTATGTGTTCAGATCATACGAATGGGGCTTGGTTGCCAGATGTTATATAAACGGGTGATTTCAGCATGGTGACTCATACCCAAAGGTCCTGAACTTCAATCCGATTATGGGTGATTGGTGTTTTTCACCTTCACTAGCACTCAGCAAATGGTTGACTCTCACATCCCCAAGTGTTCACAGTATGAGCGACTGCCCGAATCTCTCTGCTCAGTTGTTCTTGGTGTCCCTGCAGAGATACATCATTTATATCCTACCTATGTCATTGCTCATCATGGAAGAAAGTCAATAGTGTAAGTGCATGATCCGAACATCCAAACATTGTTTCAAACAAACATGGAATTGATGTTTTCTGAATCGCTCTCCACCGGGGTTTTGCACGTGGAAATGACTGATAAGATCATTCTCCGATTCGCAAGAATTTTGGCTGATGGCGACTCCCATCGTCACTCTCAGCCTCGGAGTCCCGTACGCAGTCATTGTCGAGCCAGACCTGATAGCGATTGCTACCGAACGACAGGATCGCGGCAGGATCACCGACTCGGAACATCCAGGCCTATGCGCCCAATCCGAGTCTACTACTTAACAGCCTCCGATATGCAGAGGGTACTTTCTCCGCAACCTTCGCAAGCCACACCCGGCGTTCTTGTGCCACAGAATCCAATCCGACTGAACTGCAAGTCTGAACGCAATCCCATCAACCAGCACTGATGGATCTTCTGCCGAGTACATAGTACAGTATCTCCGAGTGACGCCGTACCCATATCTCTGATCTTCGTGGTTTACAGACGCCGCAGTGGACTCCCTGATAGACTTGGATGGTGTGAAGGACATTTGTGTCATTGGTGCAGGAGCTGGTGGGCTTGCGGCCCTCAAGATCATCTCGGAAACCCCGCAGTACAAGTCCGGACGATGGAGACCCACAGCATTTGAGATGCGCGAGAAAGTGGGCGGAGTATGGCGAGTACCCTCTCATTCGGACATCGTGGAGTAGAGTCGTGGAGTAGAGTTCCTCCGACTTACGATTCTGCATATACGCAGGTTCCCTGCCTCTCCCACAGGAGATTTTCCACTCACGCCGCTGTATGACTCGCTCACGACGAACCTCCCGCACCCGGTCATGGCATTCCACTCCTTCCCTTTCCCCCCTTCCACCCCGCTCTACCCGCCTGCAAGTACGGTGGAGACGTACCTCCAAGCCTATGCTGCGCATTACAAGCTCGGACAGCACATCCGCTTCAACACCGCCGTGCTCTCCGCCGACTGGGACGGGCAGCACTCGAAGTGGACTGTGCGCATCACTGGGGACGAGGTCCTCACCTTCGACCTGCTCATCGTTGCGAACGGGCACTACCATGTTCCGCGTTTCCCCGACACGCCCGGACTCGCAGCATGGCTCGCGCAAGGGAAAGCCTCGCACTCTGCATGGTACCGCCGCCCGCACGATATCGGCAATACGGTGCTCGTCGTCGGTGGGGGCTACAGTGGGATAGATATCTCCGCGGAGATGCGCACCGCTGCGCAGACCGTGTTGCATTCCGTTACTGGCGGGGAGCCCGAAGACCTAGACGGCGGAGCGTTTAAACGCCGTGGGCGCATCGCCGAGTTCGGCGACCCCAGCCAAGGGCGCGTGGTGTTCGAAGACGGGACGGTCGACGAGGAGGTCGACCATTGCATCCTCGCGACAGGCTATGAGTTCTCATTCCCCTTCCTCTCCCCACCGCTGCTCGAGGGCGCCGTGCCGCCAGCGATACCTCCTCTCCCTCCGACGTTGTACAACTCCTCGTACAACCTCTTCCCGCTCGCACGACACGTCTTCCCGCTCGTCTCGACTATCCCGCCCTCGCGCCTCGTCTTCCTCGGGCTCCCGATCCGTGTCGTGCCGTTCCCGCTGATGGAGGTGCAGGCACGCGCCGTGATCAAAGCATTTGCACAGCCGGAGAGCCTCGACCCGCTGCAGGAGGCCGTCGCGATCGTTGCCCGTTACGAGACGCTTCGTGCGCGCGTCGGCGACAGCGAGGCTGCGATCGCAGAGGCGTGGCACCGCTTCCAGGACCAGGAGCAGTTCGAGTACCGCGACGAGCTGCATGCGTGGATCGGTGGCGAGTATGCCGGGCCAGAGTGGAAGGTGCCCACATGGACCAGGGAACTCTATGGCAGGAAGGACGTGTTGCGCAGTGAATGGAAGGAGCTGGAGCGGCTCGGAGAGGCGGAAGAATGGGTCAGGGGAGTGGGGGAACATGGTGAAAGTGAATGGGTTGATCTTTTGTATCGATTGTTGCGCAGG